CTTTCACGAATTTGCTGATATGCGATTAGTTCAGGGGAGATGCTACAGTAATATAGCAGAAGCTGAAAGAACTCACGCCAACAAAGGGCGAGGAGAGTGGTTCCAGGAAGAAAGTGGACGACAATTGATGTTCGGGTTCCAGGCACAGAGGAACAAGTATTGGACATAATCGAATCAGGGCCTTCCAAGGCACAATAACTCAGAGCACAATAACTGACACTTTCCCAAGCACCAAGTAAATACAGGCACTAGCTTGTTTGGAGTTAACCATTCAAATGTTTGGTGTTGTGTATATTATTTATGTAAACACAAAACCCCGCAGAATTAGAGGTTATGAGAACAGGTTGACATTTCGTCAACAAATCTTGTTGAATTTATCGTTTATCCTTCTCTATCTTATTGTCAGTCTGTATAATTCCATGGTTACCGGAGTTTTAAATAATTACGAAGCAACAGTTTTCTTTCTCAGTTTTGGACCGCAACTAATTGGTCAGCGAAGCAAATGCCTAGTTGCACCAATTCAGCAGTTTTAGTTTATAAGTACCAAATGTAACATTAACACAGGTTAGCTATTTGTACATCATTGCTGTAATTCGTCGTTCTAAAAATAAACCTTTTTAAAAGCTTTTCTTAGGGATTGAAAAATTTAACTCGCTAGTGCCGCTCCAATCATGCGTAAAAGGTTAATGGAATACAGATAACTACATAATCAGAGGTGTAAAGAGCACTTTACGTAGGAATGGAAAAGTTGGAAAGGAGTGCGTAATTCCATGAGTACGTAACTGCGTTACAACTCGAATTGTGTACCATCCTTTACCTACGACCGCAATAACTTACTTAAAACTAAATTGTGTATTTTTAAACATATCAGTTTAGACAACGATTAAAAAGTTGACAGCAGCCCAGTATTACAAATTAAAACGACATACGTTCATAAACAAATATTCAATAAGGTAACTTTTCCCGTAAAGTTTTAATGTCGTTTGGGTTAGTTGAACACAAATTGAAATATTATCTCTAAGAACTCATATCATCGAAAAGGAAAATTGGTATACTCTGAATATCCCACAACAAGAACTTAACAGTAATAGTGTAATTAGTTAACCATCTTGTATATAGTAGGGATCGCGTATGTACCGAAAAAGAAAACAATCAAAATAACCTAAAGCCCAATTTTGATGCAGAATTGAATCTTACAACTGAGCCACCTCAAGAAGAACTGAAGAGAGATTAATAGCCTACCTTGCAGAAATGGGCTCAAAAATTAAACTGTCGAGACGTCAAAATGCAAGATACCAGAAGGAAATAATTAAAGACCAGCAATAAGATAAAGGAAAGTATTTTACAAAAGCAAATTTCATAAGTCTTGTGGAACATAGAATAAAGATCGGTGGCCCAATTTTGATTTTGCCGCAACAAGTATTAAAAGGATATTCTTAGTTGGTTAATATTTTAAGCAACAATACAAATACAACAAATACGCATCAGAATAAAAAATAAATGAGTATTACTGAAACTATATCGATACTAATTCGTTCCTTGAGAATGCCTAAGAAAACGTAATAAAACAATAAAATCGTTGGCGATCTTCGAAGAAGATCTCAATTTTTGGACCAGTTGTTGACACAAGCATTATCATTCATTGTCGATATTACTTTTGATTACTACTAACTATATTAGTTTACGCTTTACAGGCACTATTTCATTATTCTAAAAATAGCAGTAATAAAGAAAGGAATTCAAGAAGCCGTTTGTTTGCCGTTTTCAGAAAAATATCGTTGGTGCTAAATTCTTTTAATGAATACCCCTCGGCACTGAGCGTAGTTGGCCCTGTCAGAGTTTATATACCCTCGCAGGTGACATAATTGCGCTTTTATGGGTTTGCCTTTCATTTTGACAAGCAAAATTTTGCTTTGAAGCTATAGAATGTAAATTGGACTCTAGAACGACGGTTTCCAGCTTTGGCCAAAAAATTGCAAGTTTTTGAATATTTCGAAAAACAAATTACCGGGAATATGCAAATAGATTTCATTATTAAAATCTATTACTAACAGGGTGAAACAAAATTATCCAAATTATCATAATAAGCTGTCATATTTTTAGACAGCTTATTCCTCCCCGACGATTTTTCAAAAAGCTAAGTTGATTGGCGTATGTTAAATATTGCGACATATATTTGTAAATACTTGACCGTTGTATAGTAATGTTAGAAGCAGACATCATTTTTCTACAAACTATTTGTTGGGTATTTTGTCTCAAAAATTTTCGTCTTGGTTACTTTTTAATAAATAATTCGTTCTGATTGCAAAATAAAAGCACTATTTATCAATCTGTAATAAAAGACGTGAAGAAATTCTGTCTTGTTTAAGGACAAAATTTTTTTAGGCGAAATACCCAACAAACAGTTTGTAAAAAATTAATCCGTCTCAACAATATAGAGCTTTTCTAAGAACACATCAGGTGAACATCAGAAAAACGAAATGACAAATTTATCTTGCATGCGAGTACGCAAACTAAGTAGTAATAGTGGCACCCTCAAAATAAGCCTACGACTCTATGAGTATACCGTTTTTTTTTGTGTTGAGCAGTCTGGTAATGTGTACGAAACATACCAAAGGGAAAAAATCAAATTTGATCATAATATGATAGTTAATAAATTGAACTGAAACCTTAAAAACTGATACCTTTAAAATTGAAACGAACTCCTTTATAGTGGAAAATGTATGTTCTATCAAACCACAGAAATTTGTCGCGGATGCATCAGAGTTCCGCAAATGAATCTATTTTATGTTCTCTCAAAGAGAAACATTATATTACTATTATTTATAAGTTGTACATACTTTCCTGACTGTGTTTCAATTCCAAATCAAAATTAATTCCTGGGTTTCAGTCATTTATTGTCTCTATTTATCAATTAAATGAAACCCAGGAATTAATTTTGATTTGGAGTTATTTATAAGCATAGAAATCGATAGTCCTGGAATGTGCTTTGTTATTGAGTAGCATTAACTCTTCCATGTCACAAGAAAAATTGGTTTTAATTCCCCGGTTACTAAAATTTACAGTAAACTTAAAAACATCTGGGCCTCTCCAACATTTTCACATGGACTCTTTTTGATACCCAATTCCAGTATAACCGGAAGTGTGGCCATCTTGACAAGATTTTATATCGCTAGACGTAATGACTCGTAGCGTTAATTTTATTATCACTTTTTTGATCACATGGCTATATTGAATGTTGAAGCAAAGATTTCCAGCCAAAATATGCTAATGGTCTAGTACTGGAGATGTAATATTTCTCCACAGTATTACTTGACACAAACCGCGATTTCAGAAATTACGTTAACGGTTTTCTTGCGAAAACTGTGACTCTCTTGAAATTCTTCAAAAAATCATCTTTTTTGAAATATCGGGAGAATTTCTCGATTCTAGATCTAGAGAAGCGATCTAAAATATTTCCAATATGGCAACAACGCCCAAATTCGTTTTTTTTTAAATAGAAGCCCCCATTTTTGATAATTTTATCTTATTCAGTATTGAAAATAAGGGCAAGTTTGCGTAAGGATGT